TCGGCTGCGACAAAAATTCTCTAGCGAAGATAATATTTAGTTAACATAACATATATTTACCACATAATATAAGAACTTCAAAAAAATAAAATTTCAAAACTTAGTCAATTCACTCAATTCTGACTTCTCCGTCTTCGTAAATCGGCAATATACATATGTTCAAAAAAAAAAAAAAATTGAAAAATTAGATTTGTTTCACATCATTTTTTATTCAAACGATTTTCATAAAAATTTGATATTAAAATCCCTTTGTAAAAAGAAGTATTGCATTAAACTCAATTTTCTTTTCTTTTTTTTTTTACCAAAAAGTAAGACTTTTAGTGAACTTCTTGTTAAATTTTCACTCATTTCTGTTTAGTCTAAGAATTTTACCACTCAGTACCCCAACCAAATACAAATTACGTATAAAACACGCAAAATTAAAATGTCTATAAATAGCCCAAAAATAGCTTAAATTTTTTGAAAATTATACCATGATTAGAAAAGGCAAACATAAGTTTTCCGCTTAAATTTCAAGTCTCTACAAATATTTTAAACTAACTTACAACAAATAATAAAATTGAAATAATAATAAAAGCATTATGTTCATAAATTTCCCGTTTTCTTATGTTTTATCCTAGTTATTCCCGAATATTATGAAAACCGCTTGGAAAATCAAAAAATTACCTCCTCGACCATCTCGACAATATCTCCTTTCAGAAACGGTGACACGCGTACACATTGAAGCAAGATTTATGTACATAGGATAAAAAAATTAAAAAATATGAATAAAACACAAAACACTTTTTACAACATGAAAGCCCAATTGAAATCAGTCACAACATTTGTGAAATGCGGCCATATATTTATAGATTTATTTATGTAGATCTTCTGCGATTGTTAGTTCTTTAAACCATTTTAACCATTTTGCTACAGTTTCTCTGTTATGTGTCGCACTGACCATGTCAGTTATTAGACAGTTTCGATTTTACCTATACGAACTACACAAGCATAATAGTAAATAGTTGCATTTGTCGAGCTTTGAGATGCCCTAACAACCGATCCTGTAGAATCCACATGAATAGTTGTAAATATACCCTGTTTAAATACATTTTTAATTATAGCCAACTGATGTTAGCTTGTTCATATCACATTGAATGGTTTTTCTATACTTTCGGAAAAATATCCATATTCTACCGGGGATTATTATCAGTCGTTTATAGCATATCAATGTAATCATCTCAATCCAAATCACCTTTTTAATTATTGTTCACTATTCAATTTTTTTAACATAAAAGGCGGTTTAATTACTTGCAAATGTTCACATTTCATTACTTTAATAGGTGAAATTGATCTTATATATTTTATAATGTATTATATTTTCTATAATTATTTTCTGCTGATCTTAAACAAGATATAACTTAATAAACAATACCAGTAAAAACTACACAAATAAACTTAATAAAATTATAAAACAAAATAGTATAGTTAAACGACTAAAAACAATTACAAACAACATAGTGAATAAATTAAAAAAAAATAATTTAGAAATAGTTTCAGTAAATAAATCTAATGCTATTGTTATCATTTAAATACACTAATGAAATTCATTAAAAACCTTTATATTTTATCAATAATAATAATAATAACATTCAAAACTTAATATATAACCAAATTATAAATTATACTAAACAAATCAATAAACTGATAACAAATTCGAAAGAAATCACTAACATTCGTTCATAAAATTGCATAAACAAGATAATCCGATTTATTCATTAATTATCTTTAAAACCGCTCATCTTATAACCTGCTAAATATTTAGACTCTCTCATTTAGACACGACCGACTTTCAACTTGTCAAATATGTGTGGACTAGTCGACCGACATAACTGCACCGGCACGTATCGAGTGTGTTTTACCAAAACGCTTTTTTGTTTTAGAATAGTTTTCTTATTATTATTATTATTATTAATATTTTCAATATTATTGATTATTATTAATCACCTATAAAATGAGTCCGGGTCCCACAATAAACTTCGATCACGATACATTTCAATCAAATAAATTGTTTGGTCATCGCTCCAATTCATCATGAATTAATGATCAGCTTAAATTTAAAAACCAAATAAATATTCTCGACAAAACTAAACAGAATGCAAATGGTTTCATCGACTTTTGTAGTAGATAAGTTATGCGACAGCATCAGCTGTAGTTTAAAATTCGAGCAATACGCGTCGACACGTCTACACTGCTGTTGTCGATTCGATTCGATTCGATGGTAGAAAACGTCGACCGTGTTTTTATAAAATAATGAAATCGTGAAATTGTAAGTTTTCCTACGTTTCCCACTTAAGTGCTTTTATTTAAAAAAATAAAAAAAAAAAGACCTTTAAAGTATCATCTAGACAACTTGAGCTTTCAGAAAAGGTGTTACACTTTTACATCGGAGCAAGTTTACTACGAAAAAACGTGCCTACAGACTAGAAAAAAAAAAAAGTAAACAGAATTGTAAAACCAATAGATCCCTCGCTACGTTCGGAATCTAAAAAAATTAATTAGAATATAAATATTTGTAGTTCTCATCCCTGTGTGTAATATACGAAAAATAGAATTTGATTATCTTTATTATCTCCGGAGATATTCTAGGGGTATATCTTCGTGGGACAGCCTGTATACAATAATTATCATAATAGGTAGTATGTCGTAGCCGGTAGATATATAGGTAAATATTTGTTTTGGAGTTTCAAATAATGTACCCTTTCACGATAATTTTAACAATATGAACCTAGCACTTGCCAGAACCCCGAACTCAGTGTCATTTGAATGCTACAATGTATTATATTGTAAGTTGTAACGAAGTTAGAAGAATATGGTATTATATGGTTAAGGGTAAATAGAATTTTCGAAAATCCAGAACCTAGGTAATAATAATTAAATCGATATGTGTACAAGTTCTTTTAAATTTTCTTAAACAATAATTTCATTAAATTAACATTAGGTATATTAAATTGAATAATATTAGGTATTTGTTATGCTTATATTCTTGAATCTATTGCATGGCGTTTCTTTGTAGTTCAAAATTACTTAATTTGTATGGGAGCCACTAGTAAAGTCTTAATCAGTATGTCCATTTTTAACATACGAGTAGTATTACCAATTACAATTAAATAATAAATGGATCCATATGTCTCTACATGGCCGAGATCTAAAAATGCCGTGGGTCTAAATGACTCGGGACCACATTGTCTCGATATAAATGCCTCTGACCTGGTATAAATACTTCTCCGAATATTTACCGGGGTCTCGATGGCGCGGGATCTATTTGTCATGTTACCCTGTTCCCCCAACTTCACACCCGTTAATATTATCATTTATCAATTATCATCAAAGCGAAAAATCTTGTTCAATTAATCTTATCGTTATTTAACAGAAAAAAAACATCGTTCAGTCGTCTAAAATGGGGATCTATAAACCAGCCGAACCGTATTATAGCCAAAAATATTTCAACCGACCATATTTAAGCCGAACATGAAACTATCAGAAAAAATTTAAGAAGACAAATATTTCCGCCGTTATCTGACCTTATCTCTTTTTATTTCAATCGACTGCACAGATATACAAGTATTTTATATCTATGGTCGGCTGTTATATTTTCGGATAAAATACTATCGGCTCAAATATTTTTGGGGCCTAAATACGGTTCGGTCGATTTAATTCGGCTTTTTTTTTTTTATCAAAATTCAATTCAAATTCAATTTGTAATAAGACACTTGTAGTCTTAGATCATAATTCTTATGATGTATTATGTGATCTTAGCTCGTAATAATCATTGAACTGATAACTGGAACGCTCACCGCCCATATGACTAATGTAAATAAAATCGAGCGGGCATGTTAGAAAGAGATAGTGAATACTTTAGGCATTTTTGTCTGTGTCTTTATACATATTAAACCGTATCGTATTCATTTTTCAGTGCTTACTGACCGTTAATTTCAGCTCTTTTAAAAATTGTTTATTTTAAAATTTATAGTAATTTTTTTCATTATTTAATTCTTTCAGTACAATTAAACAATGGTTAATTTTTTCAGTGCCTTTAATTGCACTAGTGTAAGTGATGTAAAAAGGGAATTAATATTTCATAAGTTAGTACTAATGTAAGCTGTGATTGATTATTTCGTAATTGTTATTTATTGTATTATTTATTTACGTTAAAGGTGCCTATATAAATAATTTTACTTTGTATTTTTATAGTCTAAAATTTCCACTCAATGATATTGAAAGGCTAAAATAATTGATACATGCTATTAGACGAACGAATTTCAAACCTATTAGTAGGTTTTTATACAGTTCACATTTTACTAAAAATTAATATGACAAAGCAGTTGTAAGTGGGAAATTAGTTTTAAAAAAATGTGTTGTACCAACTATTTTCACCTTCCAGATCATCTAATGCCTAACGTGAAAGAAAGGCAAATTCTGCAACGATCTGTTAAAATTCTAGTAAGAATTGTTTTTAATTTACTTAATATGGTAATAGTTTATAATATAATAATAATTTATTATTAGATAATAAAAAATAATACATAAATAATAATAATTAGTAAATAATATAAATAATATAAAACAAATTACTAGACAGCGAAATAAAATAAAATTCTACGTTGGCGCCATATGTTAAACAGAGATAAATATACCTAAATTATTCGCCATCTCTTTTTAACATACTTGATCGGGCTACACTGCGTGATGAGCGTTCCAGTTATCATATAGTTCAATGTTAACAATATGGTGATTTGATAACAAATCTTCTGTAGATAAATATTAAAATTGCAATAGGTTTGCTTCACGCATGCGCATATCGAACACCAAATTCGGTGACTTGTCGCCACCATTGAAGATATAACTTTAATATATTCTTAATCATTCTCATCACTTATATCGGCAACATTATTTTGTATTGATTAATACGTTGACTACATTTATACTAGACAAAGACATATAAGCCATTATAATATTAGGGTTATTATTATTAATAAATTTGTATATTTGTGGTTGATGCCGAGTTTTTTATTATCACTATTTATATTACCACAACTGTGGTTTATGCGGTACGATAAAACTCGATGTTTATACTTCAATTGACAATGCAGATAAAATAATCTACACATCATAACATAAAATAGTAAAATCGTGGTACTTTCGTTTTTATACAGGTTTGTTAATTTGTTTCTAGATTTTGTTTTTATCATAGATTATATGTTTCATGTAATCTGTATTTAAATCATTTTTTTAAATCATTTTGTATTTAAATCATTTTTAAACTTAAGGTTATATTTATTCGTTTTTTTATATCATAGTAGGTATATAAACTTAAAGTATATTTTAATATTCAATTTTTTAGACATGGAAAGTAAAGTGTGTAAAGTTAATAATCCCAAAAGAAATCACAGCGACGACGATGAGGATAAACGAGATTCAAAACAAAGACGAAGACACAGTAGTCGAGATCGTCACTCGACCAGGGATAATTACGATAAAAACGAAAACCGCAAATACTCATATGGTGAATTAAAAATTGGTGATCCTTACTATTCAGGTGGTATTATATCAGACAACCCTAAAAAAGAAGATCGGTATAAAGATGACTCTAGACAAAGAAGACGGCATAGAAGTAAAGATCGCCATGAAAAAGAAAATAGATCTAGAAATTCAAATCACTCCAAAGGAGGAAAAATTGGTGCACCATATTATTCAGGCGGAATAAAAGTAATTGAAGGTGAAAGTGGTGAAGAATCTAGTAATGATGAAGACGATAAAGTTGGTCAACGATATTATTCTACAGAAGCAGCCGATAGTCAAAGAAAAAATAGTGAAAATTATTGGAATAAATATGCTACAAAGGATAAAAAACCAAATGTATGTTTAATAAATTCAATGTAATTATATGATGAATATGAACTAAATATGATTATTTTTTCAGAATGATATTAATGATGTACCTTTAAGTCAAAGAAAAACTGTAGACCTATTAACATCTAAAACTGGAGGTGCCTATATTCCTCCAGCAAAATTAAGGATGATGCAAGAAAGCATCACAGACAAGTCAAGGTGCTAGTTATTTACAATTATTTAATTCAATTTAAAAAAAATTAATTCCTCAACCGTCAACCAGTAGTGACATAAATTGATATCCTAATTTCGCTATGAAGCAGCTGCTTTATAGCGAAATTAGGTAGGTGGGTAAATCTTTATCATAACTAACATTAAAAAAAAATGTGAAGTATATGACCATCTAGACCACATGGGAAGAGGAATACAGGAACATCTAGTAGCCTTAGTTACGACTCTTGATTATTCTTTTTGGTTTGTATAAGGTTTTATCTAATTTTACCGAAACTCCTTCATAGAAAAAGTTTCACGCTGCCATTGCTACCAACAGTTTAATAATTTTAGAAACTAAAAAACTTTTTTTATAAGTAAAATTTCATATAGGTATTAATCATATGATAATTATTTTAGTGCTGCATACCAGAGAATTGCCTGGGAAGCATTAAAAAAGTCAATTCACGGATTAACCAATAAAATTAATGTAGATAATATTGGAAAAGTGACGCGAGATATATTAAAAGAAAATATTATTCGAGGTAGAGGTTTATTGTGTCGGTCGATAATGCAAGCTCAATTGGCGTCCACAACATATACTCATGTATTTGCTGCTTTAGTTGCTATCATCAACACAAAAGTAATTTGATTTTGTTACAAAGAAACAATTTATGGAATAATAAGTACATTTCAATATTTTCAGTTTCCAAACATAGGAGAATTACTATTAACCAGGTGTATTGTACAGTTTAAAAGAGCCTATCGCCGTAGTGAAAAGTCTCAATGTTTAGGATCAGTCACTTTTATTGCGCATCTGATTAATCAGAGTGTTGTGAGTTTTAAACTAATTTAAATTTTGTCATGAATAATTCTTATATTTTCTTTTTCTTTCATTGTAGGCCCATGAAATCTTGGCATTAGAATTGTTAACGTTATTTGTAGAGACTCCTACAGAGGATTCAATTGAAGTCGCAATAGCATTTTTAAAAGAATGTGGTCAAAAAATGAGCCAAGTCAGTAAAAAAGGAATGTCTGCAATTTTTGATATGTTACGTAATATTCTACATGATGGACAACTTGATAAAAGAGTAAATATATAATAATTAATAATTATTAAAATTAAAATACTAATTTTCTTTCATAAAATAAATATTAACTGCTCAAAAATTTACTTTAAATATATTATTTATGAAATTTCTCAATAAAATATTTAAAAATATGTATGTATAATTGATTTTAATTGATTTATTATTTATAAAATAATGTGTATCTTAACATTTCCCAAATATTATTACATTATTACTTAATTTATATTCATATATATATTGGTAATTCTTTAGGTACAATATATGATAGAAGTGATGTTTCAAATTCGTAAGGATGGATTTAAAGATCATCCTGCTGTAATTGAACAACTCGATTTAGTACCAGAAGAGGATCAATTTACACATTTATTAACTTTAGATTCTGCTAAAGACCCTCAAGATATTTTAAGTAATAATTACTAATTGTTTGTTTACTGTTTTTACCTATTCATGAACATTACAGTTGATTAACCATAAATGCTAAACTTGATTTCTAGATGTTTATAAATTTGATCCGGACTTTGAAGCTAATGAAAAACGTTACAAATCATTACGAACAGAAATATTAGGGTCAGACAATGAAGATGGAAGTGGTGGTTCAGATGATGGCTCAGATGATGATGATGATGATGATGATGATGATGATGAAGGTGATAAGGATGAGGAAGGAAAAGGTAAGCAAATTTTATTTAAAATGTTTTTTTATTTGATAAATAATTTTAATATTTCTTTTTTAGAAGGCGAAGGAAAAGTGATAATAGATAACACAGAAACAAACATGATTGCATTACGAAAAACCATTTACCTAACAATACATTCATCACTTGATTATGAAGAATGTGCCCATAAATTAATGAAAATGCAATTGAAACCTGGGCAAGAAATAGAGATGTGTCATATGTTTTTGGATTGTTGTGGTGAACAAAGAACATATGAAAAGTTTTTCGGGCTTTTAGCACAAGTAAAATTTATCTCAAAAAAATAATAATGATCTTCAACATAATATTTCTGTTTACTGGTAATGATATTTCACCATAGGATAATCTTAAAATATATATTATTCTTTTATTTGTTCGAGTTTATACAATCTGTAATAACAATGAGCATCTTCTTCTGAGATATTATCTTTGTCACTACATCTGAGACTGTTCAAAATTTTAAATATGCAGGTTATGATTTTAAACATAGAATGGAACACATTATCAATTACGTATAACAATATGAATTGGACATTTTATATTTCATTTGTTTGGGCCAAGTTAAAAAAAAAAAATAAAATTATATTAATATATATTTGAAATTCTAAACTAATTAGATAACACAAATTGTAGTATTGAGTTTTAAATGTTAAAATACAATCTGTGTTATTTTCATATTATAGTGAAACCTCTATTAATGGACACCTCTATAGTGAACCCTTCCCAATAATTAGCACTTTTAAATTCCCCTGCAAAAATATATGTACATAATAGGAGTTATAACCTCTTAATAGTGGACGTGGACACTAAAAACTGGTATCAAAATTAAAAATTATCTCTTATAAATAAACACAATACATGTACATACCGAAAATGTTTAAGTAATAAAAATATTATGTGTGTTTATTTTTATACATTTTGTTCATATTTTATCTTATCTTAAAAGGACGTTATCCTGTATCTACTGTCTTAGTCCAACTACTGGGAAACATGCAAAAACAATGCTTACGCAGAAAAAGTAAAACTTGCTTAATTTTGATTTTAGAGTATTGTATGTATATGTATACCCAATTTTCTATAACACCTCCCTATAATGGACGTTTTGTAATTTCTCACAAATGTCCACTAAATAGAAGTTTTCTCAATAATGGAGATTATTTTATTTCCCATGTCTGTCCACTATATAGAAGTTTCACTGTATCATGAATCATCGTAGAAGAAAAATAATGTTGAAGACTTATAAAATATAAATGTATAAATATTTATTTTTATATTTTTTTCAGAGATTTTGTCAAATAAACAATGTGTTTATTGAACCACTGCAAAAAATTTTCATTGACAGTTATGCTACTGTTCATCGTTTAGAAACAAACAAATTACGTAATGTCTCCAGATTTTTTGCACATTTATTATTTACAGATTCTATTTCTTGGGGGGTATTATCCACAATACATTTGAATGAAGAAGAAACCACTTCTTCTAGCAGAATTTATATCAAGATTCTTTTTCAAGAATTGGCTGAACACATGGGACTCAATAAATTAAATGCTAGAGTTCAAGATCCGTTAGTAAAATAGTTTCATTTGTTGCTAGACATTTTATTTATATTATTTGTTTAATTTTAAATATCATATGAATTGTTTCAGGGAATTGAGACTAGCATTTGAAGGAATATTTCCTAAAGACAACCCAAAAAATACAAGATTTTCCATTAATTTTTTCACATCTATTGGTTTGGGTGGTTTAACGTAAGTGTTGTAATTATGCAATTTTTAAATAAAATTTTCACCTAATGCTAAACTATGAATCATTTAATTTTTAGTGATGAACTACGGGACTTTCTCAAAATACAACCTAAACAAGTTCCTGCTGTTGCTAAAATCATTGACCAACTATCTGAATCATCAGATAGTGATAGTGATAGTGACAGCAGTTCAAGTAGTTCAAGTAGTAGTAGTAGTAGTTCCAGTAGTAGTAGTAGTGGTAGTTCAAGTAACAAAAGTACTGAAACAAACAAAATAAATGAAAAGAAAGGTTAGTACAAGAATTAATTTGTTAGTTTTTGTTTTTTAATAATAAACTTTTTGATTCCTGATCCAAGGACTACTTAAATATTCTATTTTTCATGAGAATTTTTAATGAGTGTAATAGTATTTATTTTAAACCATATTATAGACAACTCAACAACAGTTATATTTTACTGGAATGTTAAGTTCAGCCAAATGTCTTGCACACAGAAAAATTAAGAAGCTAAGATTTTAAACAAATATTAGTTATAATAACATATAAATGAAATTAAAGATAATTATGGAATACAGATAAATGAGCAGTAACTTATAGTCTCCTTAAATCATTTCATATCTTAACAAACCAACAATAATAACTAAATATCTGAACCATTAAGTACGACTTTTAATAAACCCCCAATCAAATTTTCAAGCATATCTGTTAAATCTAACATATTTAATACCATAAATGGTAGCATACCATAAATATTTGCATTTACCTAAAATTTTCTTTCGGATTTTTCCCAATTATTTTGAAATCTCTTGGAAAATCAAAAATAATCTCTTTATAGTCTATTCAGGTTAAGAGTGTCCAAACTCGCGCATGCATACCAAGCCCCCGACAACTGTCGGACCCCCCGGACGAGATCAGACGTTCTGTGATTGGTCGGCATTGTTCGATCACTATCGCTGTCTATCGGAGTCGGCAACGCGCCGCCGTGTATATCACATGATGATAAAAACAAAACAGGTATTCTCCGTCGCGTCATATTTTATATTATAACACAAATGATATACAAAATTACAAATACATAAAAAAAAATTAAAGATATTTACAAAAAAAAAAAAAAATGTTTTTACGAAACAATTCAAAACGTCATGTGGGTATATAAGAAAATATTTAAAAATTAAATTTTCATTCTGAATCAGATGTTGTCTCTGACGACGTGTCTCCAGTTACTGTACTATACCACACTACGTATAATGTGCGTCGGTACACCACAGCTCTCCCCATAGAAAAATACATGTGCGAACTGAACTAGTTTTCGTCCAAGCGAGTGGGCACTCTTAACCTGAATAGACTATAGTACACCAGCTAGACAATATTTTTTTAAGAAAGTCCTACAGAAAAATCTCTATTAATGAAAACCTCTCAATAGTGGACACTTATAAATTCCCCAGCAAAAATGTATGTAGTAGGAGTTATAACTTCTTAATAGTGAACATGAACATTAGAAACTGGTACAAAAATATAGAAAACGTTTGAATAACATTAGTACTATATTTATCTTTTATACATTTTGTTGATATTTTATCTTATCTCAATGGTTTCCCTATTCAATAAATGACAAATGGTTCGGTTATGTGTTCAGTTATGTGCTTAAAAAATGTACACAAAAAAAATTATTTTAATTGTACATAAATATTTAAAATTTTTTATTACATATACATATGTTATAAATAACAAATTTAAATTAAACTTAATATAAATCATATAATAAACAATTAATATATTATAGTACAGTAAATAATAGTACATTTTTTAGAAATTATAATAATAAATACATGTAAGTAATAAATAATACAAATTTTAATATGTATGTATATGTTTAACCAATTCTCTATAGCACCTCTCTATAGTTGACATTTTTAATTCCCCATGGCTGTACACTATATAAAGATTTCATCATTGTAGTTAGATTTCTGACAGAAAAGTTATTCATAGATAGAAAAAAACTAGCACACATATTAAAACTAATAAATCCCTCGCTATGCTTCAAATCTAAAAAAATTGAAATCTGTTTAAACAAAAAAAAAAATGAAATTTATTAACAAAACTAATATAAAATATTATATTTAATTACCCAATTGAAAGGATTAATCATTATAATATTTAAGTATATAATTGTAATTTTTATTTTAAACATTTTTATAAATTTGATGTATTACATTTCTAAAGAAGAATTATAAAAACTTATTTTACAACTAAAATTCTAGAAAAAAATTAATAGGTTTATCTACGGAAAATAAACGAAAAGCTCTTCACATTCCTCTTAAAAATAAATACATTTCTAAAAAATAAACAAAATCAAAGAAATTAATCTATTCTTTTTAATCACTAATAAACATATGTTTTGCTTTGTATTTTATAGGAGATAAAAATAAAAAAGAAATCAATGATTCTAAAGAAAATGAAAAACACAAAAGAAATGAAGAAAGAAAAGACACAGACAAATTTAAAAGAAATGAAAATGAAACACAGAAAAGAAGAAATATTGACAAACCTAAAAGAGATGAAGAAATAAATGTAAATGAAAAGTCTAAGAGGTATTATGAAGGAAGGGATGTAAATGAAAAGTCAAGAAGACAAGAGGAAAGAAGAGAAAATGATAAGCCTAGAAGGTATGAAGAAAGAAAGGAAAATGACAGATTTAGAAGACACGATGACAGGAATGAATATGATAAGTACAAAAGACATGATGAAAGAAAAGATCATGATAAATATAAAAGAAATGATGAAAGAAAAGAAAATGACAAGTATAGAAAAAATGATAAAGGAAAAGAAAATGAAAAAAATAAGAAAAATGAAGAAGGAAAAGAAAACGTTAAACAAAGAAGAAATGATGAATCAAAAGAAATTGACAAATTTAAAAGAAATGAAGATGAAAAAGAAAGTGACAGGCCTAGGAGAAGACGATAATTACCCTGATTCAATTTGTATAAAATATATTAATTGTATTCAATTTTAATCAATTATTTGTAACAATCGTTTTTTTATTGCCTTTTCTGTGTAAAATATTTTATTTTATCTGATAAAAATAGATGATTCAACTATACTAGTGCCATCGTAAGAACGTTTCTCGTTTGCGCATTCAAATTACGGAGCTCCGCGGTTTTATCACACTCTACCATCTAGTCTCCGCCGTAAATTCCCCCACTCGCTATGCGCGACCATCGGCTAATATCACCGGCAGCCGGTGGTTTGTATATAAGGCATACACTGGCTCAAGTAATACATCACGAAAATAATAATACCTGGCGACTAGGGCATATGTATTCAACAACAATGCAAATAATATGTATGTAATAGCAATATTTTATTTATGTATACCAACATAAATGAATAATTGTACATAACATAATACACTTTATAATTATAATATTAACTAAATATTCATTTAGTTAAAAAAAAAAAATTAAAATACAAAACAAATTTAAATGATAATGAAAAAAATCAAAATAGTTAAAGCACAATGAAATCAATGAGAGGCACAATCAGCAGAACTTGTGTCACCTGTTCCTATCATTAGAACATGACCTTCTTCGGATAGTTTTTCCATTATTTCGTCGGTTATATGTTCTATATCCTAAAAATTGTCTTCCACTTTTTGGATATGTTCGATAAAATGTCAATCGCAATATGATTTTATTATTCTCTTTTGCGTACTCATCAATTGCATATTGGTTGTACTGATTTTTTATTTTGTTAACTTTTTTCATTAAATCGTTTTTTACAACAGGGTTTTAACAAACCGTTCATAAAACGTATCGCCATTTAACTTATCATGATAGTAGAATTGGGGTTTGGATTCAGAACACAAAAGGCCCCCGGGACAAAACTGTCTGACGACCCGATGTGTAATACAAAGACGCTTACCTTTGAGCGTTCCTTATGTCCTGTGGTGAGGCCTCTGAGGAATGCATCCCTTGATGATGTGACTGTGGTATCAATCCACGCTCTGCTATGCACCTCACCTGTATTGACCCACGTCTCATCCAACTAATATATTGCCCTGTTAAAGTGCTCAATAATGCCTTATTTTAAACAAATAACCTCGGCGCCAAGATATTAGATCTTCTCTTTCGAGAAGTGCACTGTTTCTATTTTGTTTCACAAACTCAAATTGCAAATACTTCAATAGTTTTTGGAAAGAAAAATGTTTCATCTACATTAATGGCAATTAACATTTTTGTAACTGTTGGCACCTCACGGTCCCTCCAAAAACCATAAATTTTTTGCCTCATGGCATTTTTATCAAATTCATCTACTTGTTGAAGTATTGTAGGTTTCAGTCTTTTTTTTATTGGGCGATAACACTGTACCTTCTTTCCTATGCTCTCCAATTTAGTTTGTATCGTACGTTGCCCAATACCAGAGGTTTTTGAAATTTCAACGATCAGTTCTCTGAAAGACAATTTGCGCATCTCTAGATTTTCGTGCTGTGGTTTGACTTTCTCTTTATATACATTGATGATGATTTTCTTTTGACCGGTGCCAATTAACTAAAGAAAAAAATATATATTTAAATATTAAGAATTTGCAATATAAAACATAGTATACAAACACTTACTTTTCCTCTTGGATTTTTTTTGGCAGGAGACACATCTACGAAGTCCATGTTGTATTGTGTATTTAGTATAAAAAAAAAAAAAAAAAAACAATAAAGTGCTTAAACACGAAAAAACTAAAAAAAAT